TCATATTACTGCCTAAGCGGAGCTCTGGAGAGTGGAGGCTTCAGCCGAATGACTCCCCTAAATGAGAGAAAGCCTAACAATGCTCAGCCCTAATAGAGAAGCTCTAAAAAGTGGAGGTCTCAGCATAACGACTCTCTAAAACGAGAGGAGACCTGACCACACTCAACGCTAGACACAGTTAGTGAGGCTCACGATAGAGCCTACATGCTAATGGTACTGTCTAAGTGGAGTTTAACGACTCTAAGCTGGAGTACTAAGCTAGGAGTACTGACCATGCTCCTAAGTGCCGAACAGAGCTCTAGGGAGCAAGCACTCAACATACCAACCCTCTAAAGCAAGGGGAGTGCAACCATCCACCCTTATGGATCAGCGTACTCAGTACGAAGACCTCAAGTGAGGGGAGTACTCGAAAGCTCGACCTGAAGAGCGACTTATCAAGGAGGCCCACAAGAGCTCTGTTGAAAGAACACTAGGAACTGTGATCTCAGCATAGCGACCCTCAAAGGGAGGGGGAGCTACCAGGCTCAGGAAGAGCTGATCAGGGAGGCTCACAGAGAGCCTCAAAAACCCTGAAATAACTGCAAACAAAAATCCTGGGGAGCAGAGTGCTCAGTATAACTCTCTCGGCGAGAGGAGCAGAAACCATGCTCAACCTAAATACACAAGAGCCTAACAACTCAAAAAACTTGCCATTACACCAAGTCAGGAGCCTCTTTCACCAATAATGTAGATATCTCACCTTATACACAGTTCCTATTCTTTAAAAAAAAAGAAAACCAAAAAGGAATTCTGAAAGAGAAAGCACTCCTCGTCAGATTCCTTCCATGCCCTGCTTACAATCCCCGTGATCGGTCTGACTAACCGCCTCGGCAGCCGCGAGACCCGAAATGCGGATGAGAGGCGTTCGATTCTCAAAGAGAATCAAGCATACAAGGCATTTTCAACGCGATCACATCTTGTAGCGTGAAGATGTGATCAAGTCTTGTTTTTGTGATCAACTCAATCTTGTTCAACTCCCTCGAGAGGTGAACACGCTCGTGCAAACGCTGACAAAGCTCGAGTACAGACCTCTGCCTCTAGTAGTCCCGCAAATGCAAACAGTGAGCGCATTCCTTCTCTCTCGCGAGGCAGACACATGTGCTTCCATACACAAGGCTTAAAGACAAAGAAGAGGATGAC